TTTTCCCGTGAAATTTAGCTTCAATATTTTCTCTTTTTAGCGTCTGGACTTAATCGATTGATTTTTTCCTAAGTCTTTTTCGCCTCAATCCTCCTTGCAGTGGTGGCGTTTGGCACACTGGTACCTCTGGCCTTGAGGTTGGGGATACCTCCATTGACGAATGTTGACTTACTGGAACGGGAATTTCAAATACGTCATACAGAACTTCCATTGGAATCTCTTCAGTATTTTCCATGACCTCTGTAGTGTGTCTGGGTCTCAATTGATTCCAATGTCTTTTGTACCAAAATCTTTTCCCTTTTATGTCATAAATGACCTGTCCAATTCTTTTGGTTATCATTCCTTCTTCCCAATACATTTTCCAGCCCTAAAGTTCTTGAAAAAAAAAAAAAAAAACCCCAAAAAAAACAAACTGTCACCTGGCTTATACGCTTTAGTCATCTGGTTTTCTTTTTTAGCATTTTTCTTCGCCAGACTAGGCAACAGCCTGTCGAATACAGAGCGTATTTTTCACGCAAACATTACCTCTGCTAGCAATAACCCTGACTGATTCTATATACTGCCAAAAATTTCTGAATACTTCTTTCATTCGTGTCCACGCTTTGGTTTTTCTTCAACGCTCGTTTAAAGGTGTCCACGAAATTTTCCGCCTGTCCATTCGATCTTGGATGATATACTGGCGTTGTCACGTGATCAATGGACAAATATGTACAGAATTCTTTGAAATCTCTTCCCGTAAACTGCGTTCCGTTGTCGCTGACTAAAGTTTTAGGGAGTCCAAAGCGATTAAAAATTTCATTAAGTGCGTTTATTGTATTTGTTACAGTCGAGTGTCTGCACTTAACAATTTCTGGCCACTTAATGAAACTGTCAAAAATGATCAGGTAATAAGATCCATTTATGGGCCCTGCATAGTCGATATGCAATCGAGTCCATGGGACATCTATCTTTGGCCATGGTTGAATCTTTACCAGTGGATCCCTTGCTGCTAGTTGACATCCTCTGCACTGTTTCACCAAATTTTCTATGTCTTGGCCAATAAGTATAACCTCTCATTAGAGATTTCATTCTCGAAATCCCTGGATGGCCAGTGTGAAATTCTTTCAGAAAACCGGCATTACAACTATCTGCGTATAGTAATACCTGTTCGCAGATTGAAAAATGTGACACACTAATTCCTTTTTTATTTTTCTTGTTCAACCAGACTTGCTTTTTCATTTTTTTAATGAAATCATCGTTCACCGCTGCTTTTTTCACATCTTCTAGCGTAACTGGTAGTTCTCTAATAGTGTTGCATAACAGACCCGACAATTCATTTTCGTCTCTTAGCGCCACTATTACTGTTTCTTCCAGTGGTTCCGTATATTTAGGTATCAATCTTGATAACCCATCGGCGTGATCTAGCTTCTTTGAAGGCACATATTCTATTTTGAAATTATAATTCAATAGAATTACACCCCAACACTGTAGTCGATTTCCCGTGTGAGTTGGTATACCTTTTTTTGAACCAAATATTGTTAACAGCGGTTTGTGGTCTGTTTGCAGAATAAATTCTCTTCAGTATAGGAACCTGTGAAATTTTTTACAGCGTAGATTATTGCTAAACTCTCTTTTTCGATTTGACTGTAACTTCGTTTTTCGGGCAGTAACGTTCTCGAGGCATGTGCTATTTTCTTCGTAGATCCGTCCTCGAATTTATGAAGCCATACAGCACCTAGTCCCTCATTACTGGCATCTGCTGCTACAATGATTTTCTTCTTCGGGTCGAAATGCACTAACGATAGGTCTGCTAATAGACAGCTTTTTATTTTTTTAAACGCCCGTTCGCATTCTTTCGGCCATATCCACTTTGCGCCCTTTTTCACCAAATTATTTAAAGGAGCTCTCATATAACATTTTTGGGATATAAATGCTATAGTAACTTACTAATCCCAAGAAGGCCTGGAGTTTAGCCACATTATCAGGTGCTGGCATATTTTTTATAGCCTCAGCCCTTTCTGGATCCGGTTTTCTTCCTTTACTGTCAATGATCTGCCCTAAATATTTTATCTCCTTTAGAAGAACTCGCATTTTTCAGCACTCAGCTTGAACCCGTATTCCTCAATTCTCTGAAATGCTGCTCTAATATGAGTTTTGTGTTGGGTCTAGTTTTCACTTTTAAATCAAAATATCATCTAAGTATGCAATTGCGTATGCCATACCAGCCAACATTGTGTCCATTATTTGCTGGAATAGGCTTGGAGCTACCTTCAATCCAAAAGGAAGACGATTTAGTTTATAAATCCCTTTATGTGTGTTTATTGTCAGGTACTTAGAACATTCTTCACTGACTTTAACCTGAAGGTAAGCCTCCGACAAGTCCAACTTTGAAAACACTCTACCTCCGTTTAATTTAGTGAATATATCTTCCGGAGTCGGTAGAGGGTACGCATGGTCTTTCACACAATCATTTAAGCCTGTCGAAAAGTCAGCACACACTCTGATTTTTCGGTTTTTCTTCTTTATATATACGATTGGAGACGCCCAATCCGAGTAATCGACTTTTGAAATTACGCCAATTTTCTCCAACTTTTCAAATTCCTCATTTATTGTGTCTAGTGCCGAAAACGGTACTTTTCTCTTTGGTTTAAAGATTGGTTTGACATTTTCTTTCAATTCGAAGTTAACTTCTGTTTTTGTGCACAGAGCTAGCCCTTCTAAAAAGACGCGAGGGAATTCGCCTTTCAAATCCGTAATAAATCTTTCCGTTTGCTTCGTCTTATAGATAGTTCTTTATGACGTTAACTTTGTTACAGAAAGAATTCATCGGCAACTCCCATAAATTAAACAATACAATCCAGTCTAAACCAAAGAGTTTTACTGAATCAGGGAGCACATACACTTTCGATTTGTGAATTTTTCCCATAAACGCAATGTTACATTTTAATTCACCTCTAAACTTAAGTCTTTTTCCTGAAACTCCCCCTGGCAATTTTGTCTTTGATAGTCAACTGCGGGTAACCGATTTTTTCCATGTTTTCTCGTTTATTACCGAGATATCACTTCCTGAATCGAGTAAGTATTATCTTTTTTATGTTTATAAGTCGCTGAGATTCTTCCGTTATTTTTTGTAGCGTAATCTTCGTATCCTGTTCCATGATAGTGAGGATTCTTGATCTAATTTCTTTGTCCTTCGGTGTCGTTAGACCCTGCACAAAAATTAGACACTTGAACCTGTTGCTTGACAATTCATTTAAAACAAATGCCTCACACTGTGCGTTAACCATACCTGCATACGTGACAAAATCATCATCCTCTTGTTTTACGATATTTAGACACTTGTATCGAGTATGAAACAGAATATCTCTTTCATCGAAAATTTTCAACAAAATTTCTACTGTTTCGCTGAATGTAATTTCTTCTGACTTCTTTGGGAGGATTAAATTCGCATATTTTGTATTTTCTTCTGTTCCCAACTTCCGCAACAATAGAGTGATTTTTTCCTCGTCGGACCATTATTCGCATCTTTTCGTAAATATTGTTTCAAACCTACGAAAATAAGTCGGAAACGTTGAACCACCGTCAGGGTCGTATTTAAATTCAGAGAGTGCATTTGAAATTCCTTCAGCAGAAAAAAATCTAGAACCCGTTATTTTTTGTTGTCCTAGATAATATGTCTTCCCAAAGTGGTTTATTGTCTTTTGCCTGTTGTTTGAATAACTTTTCAAAACTTTCTTGTTGCTTAATAAATTGTTGTTGTTGTTGTTGGAATTGTTGCTGTAAAGTGACTTTTAGCACCTTAGTTAATTCCGCAATTTGTTCCATTCTGCCAACGTATCCACAAGAAAAAATTTTGCTCCAATTTATGTCGACAATAAAATTTTCTATGTCCAAACAAGGGGGGGGGGACAATTTTTACTTTCTGTAAGCGTTGCACAAGTTTTCCCTTTTCTAACGTTCCTCGTTAATAAGCGTTAAAACAAAAATGAGGGAAAAATTACTTACTTTCTGTAAGCGTCGAACAAGTCTTTCTAACGTTCTTCGTTAGTAAGTGTTGTCAACTGTATTTTTTTCCTGTCGTCCTGTACCTTCACATCAGTCTGTATGTATGGCTGACACCAGCCAATCATATTACTGTGAGGGGGAACCCAGGTGTATTCATATTCATTACAGCAAAATACTTCTTAGGCATTGAAACTTCAAGTCACTTTTTCATCTTTGAGAAAATTCTCCAACATTCACTGCCATATAGAAGAATTGATAATACATAGCAATTCAGAATTGTTTTCTTTGTTTCTAACGAAACTTTCTCGTTTCTTAATATTTTGCTTAGCTTTTTGAAGGCATCTTTTACTATCCCAATGTCCATTCAGATTTCAATGTCACATTTTCTGTCCTTTCTTAAAATACTTCTTAGGCATTTAAACTTCAAATCACCTTTGCATCTTTGAGAAAATTCTTGAGATTGATATTGCATAGCAATTCAACATTTTTTTCTTTGTTTCTAACGAAAATGTCCTGTTTCTTAATAATTTGCTTAGCTTTTAGAAGCATCTTTCGCTCTTCCAATACGCATTTGGATTTTGGTGTCTACAAAATAATATTGAGAATACCCTGGATTAAGCATGTGAGCAACGATGAAGTTTTAGAGAAAACGGAACCATTTATACTTTCTAAGGCCCATAGTGAAGAAAGACGGCTTGGAAAAATTGACACTCACAGGACCTATTGGTGTCAAAAGGGATAGAGGAAAGCAGCACATAACCTACCTATCGAGCTTGTGTAAATGGATAGTAGAACAGGGTTTAGGAGAGATAGCAAAATGGCCTAACTTACTAAGAGCTACAAAGGACAGGAAATTGTGGAGAGCCATGATCGTCATCGTCCTAAAGGCGCATAGCACATAGAAGAGGATGTGTCCCATTCGAGAGGGAACCAGCTGTTTTGAACCTCAAAATTCAAAATCCTTGTTTTATAACTAAACTTGAAAACTGACCTTTGACCTTTAACATAGGTGCGAAATGCGCCGATTCTCTTTTAGTCCTTTCTTTCATCCCACTCTAATCTCTTCTTCTCTCTTAATTTCAACTCTCTTCTCCTCCTTCTTTTCCACTACTTTCCTTCTTTCCCTTGTCTCCAACCACAAGCGGAAAAACGAATTGATTTTCCCACCCTTTTTCCCGCCAAAAATATCTCCAGTTAAAAAGTCAGCGGTGCAACATTTTCCGATTGTAAGGACTTGATCGTTCTCCTTTAAGCAAATTGTTTCCTGTCGATGCCTGCATTTATTGGCTATTGTGTTAAAGCTGGTGCTATTGGTGCTTTGGGGGGGGGTGTTCCCAACAAACCCGGGCTGAGTGTGTATTCTTCGAATATCTTTACCGAATTCGCGAGTTTTTGATTAAATCCGTGCTTTCGAGGCGCGTACACTTCAAGAGACAGGCACGTGGGCCTTCCGATTGCAAATCTCATTTTTACCTCTGCACCCCTTAACACCACCCGTCTTTAAACAGCACGAAACCTTCCCGACATTAACTCGTCGCAGCTTCATCTTCGTTCCCAAACACACGCTCATCCGTTTGACACGTTTCTCTCTTTCGACGTAGATATTTACTTTCGTGGATTGATGTTGCGTTGGGTGGGGAAGCATATTCGATTCTGTAAGTATTGTTGTGTGTGGCAGAGCTGAGGTGGGTGAATGGAGAGAAAAAAAAATTAGGGTTGGGAAAAAATTAAAACAATGGAAACGAAATTGGAAGTGAAAAAAAAAAAATCCAGTAGAGGTCGTAAGCGACCCGGGACATTTATTTCACTTACATTTCAAATCTCATCTTCAACCTCTCCATATCTTTTGGTCTTCTTCATTTTCTCGTCTTCTTCTTCTTTTACATATCTCTCTCTTTCAACTATTCCTACGTCAGGATGAATTAAATTCTACTGCTTCTCTTTCTTCTTCTTCTTCTTCTTCTTCTTCTTCTTCTTCTTCTTCTTCTTCTTCTCATAATGAACTTCCACTGCTTTTCTTTCTTTCTTTCTTTCTTTCTTCATTATCATCATCTTCTTCTTCTTCTTCTTCACTTTTCTCCTTCTCCTCCTCCTCCTCCTCCTTTCTCTTCTTCTCCTCCCCTCCCCTCCTTATCTTCCTCCTCCTCCTCCTTCTTCTTACCTCCTCCTTCTTCTTCTCCCCTCCTCATCCTCCTCCTTCTCCTTCTTCTTCCCTACTCCTCCTCCTCCTCCCCATTCTTCTTCTTCTTCTTAAAAAATCTTTGCCTTCGTTAACGTGTCTTCTCTTCTTTCACCTTCATAAAATATAATTGTCTTCATCATTATTTTCTCTTCGTAATCTTCGTTAATTTCTCTCCCCTTCCTCCTTTAATTTCTCTCCCCTTCCTCCTTTAATTTCTCTCCTCTTCCTCCTTTAATTTCTCTCCTCTTCCTCCTTAAAATTCATCATAGAATCTTTCCTCCTCCTCGTCCAAAATCATTTTCATTACAATCATTCCCTTTTCTCTTCCTCTTTCCTAAAATAATCGTCTACCTTAGACTCTTTCCCCTTCCTTTTTTAAAAACACAGATTTCATTAGATTATCTCCTCTTTCTCCTTCTCCCCCTTAAATATTATTGTCTTCATCATTCACTCCTTTACCTCCTCCTCCTCCTCATTAAAATCATTTTGATCAGAATATTTCCTTTTTCTTGTCCTCCTTAAAAATCATCACCTTTGTTCTGTTATCTCCTCTTCTTCCTTAAAAAATCATTGTCTTCATCGGTCACTAATCTTCTTCTTCTTCCTCCTCCTCCTCCTCCTCCTTAAGAATCGTCATCTTTGTTAGAATCTCTCCTCTTCCTCTTCCTCCTGAAAAGCATTTTGATTAGAATCTTTCCTCTTTCTCCACCTTAAAAATCATAGCCTTCGTTATGTTATCTCCCCCTCCTCTCCGTCTTTAAAAAATCATTATCTTTGTTAGAATCTCTCCTCTTTCTCCTACCCACTAAAATCATTTTGGTTAGAATATTTCCTCTTTCTCCTCCTCTTTAAACATCATCGTCTTCGATATGTTATCTCCTCTTCCTTCTTCCTAAAATCATCTTTCCTCTTACTCCTTAAAAATAATCTATACGTTATATTCTCCCCTCTTTCTCTTTCCCCTTCATTGGTTTCTTCTCTTCCTCCTCTTTCATGAAAACCTTTGCCTCCATGATGCTCTTCTTCTTATCTTTCTTAAAATATTTGTCCTTGTCGGAACTTTTTCTTCTTTCCCTTTCCTGCTTATTAAAATTCTTTGTATTCATTGGAATCTCTCCGCCATCTTTCACTAAAAATTTATCTTTATTCAGATTTTCCATTTTCTTTCCTGTTCTTCATTTCTTTCTTTTTCTGTTTCATTTTCATAATTTTAAACCAAATTTTTATTTTTTATTTTTCTTTCTTATTCCATTTTTTTTCAATATTTTCACCTTTTTTTTTCCTTCATTTTTATCTCTTCTTTCCTCTTCTCATTTTCCTCTCTTGTATGTGTCATTTTTTTTTGTTTCTCACTCATCTTTTCCCCTTAATTTTTCTTCCTCAACCCCTTGTTTCCTCTTTTCCTTCTTCCTCTATACACTTTCTTTCTTCCTTCCTCCACATTCTTTCTTTCTTTCTTTCTTACCGTTATTTTATAGTATACCCCCACATCCACAAACTTCCTTCGTTTCCTCCTTCTCCCAATCCGTCTATCATCATTTCTTTTGTTCCTCTCTCCCCTTTTTTCCTTTCCATCATCCCTTTCTTTCTTCCTCTTTCCCTTTTCTTTCTTTTTCGCTTCCCTTTTTTACTTTCTTTCTTCCATTTCTTTCTTTCTTCCATTTCTTTCTTTCTTTCTTTCTTTCTTTCTTTCTTTCTTTCTTTCTTTTATTCTATAGCGTACCCCCCACATCCTCACACTTCCTTTAATTCGTTAACTCCTCCTTCCATTTCGTCTATCATTATTTCTTTTTCTGACCAATCAGCAAACACCCAGAGGACGTATACGTTACGAGGATTGGACAGAAGCAAAGTAACAAAAACAACAACAAAATCCACGAAGAAGAAGAAAATAAAAACAAGGAAATAGTCATGACGACAAGAAAACCCATAATGGTTCTATCGATAAAAGCCTCAAAGCCGCCATTTTCTCGAAGACCCAAAGAGTTTTGCTTCAGGCGACTAAAGGTCGATATTTCGAGATGTTGTTCAAACGATGCTACGTGATCTAGACGCTGCTTCGCCAACCTCATCTTCCCCTCTCATTCCCTCGTAAAATGGAAGGCATTGACGAAAAAGAATGGTCGTGGACGCTCTATCGTTATTTTGGCACGTCATTGCGGTTAGCATTCAAATAACGGACATGACGACAGCCGGAAAGAGAGAACAGACGACAGTGTATGCGCGCATGCGCATGCGTGTGTATTCTTATGTATATTGCGTTTCTATTATAAATCACTGGTTAGCTTGTGGGAATGAAGACGTAACCAATTTTTTATGTCTTTGTATTAGATTAAATAATCGGGAACGGCTGCTGATATGGAATGGTTATCGTGTTTGATTCATCGATTCTGATTTCGTTACTTTTTTTATGCTACTGCTAACATAACACAAGGCCCAAGAGCCACTAAAGGCGGTGTGTTACTGAATGGGATTGTTTTATGGATGTAATAATTGTAGATTATGAGTACATGTAAAATAGATAATGGTTGATTCTGGATTTGAAGAGGTTAAGATTGTAATGATCTGGGAAGCATCCCTTGGGGAGTCTGATTCACAAAGCAACGGCTATTGGAAAAGAAATGAGGACCGTCCATCTCTGTGTACATGGCATAGCTGTAAATGTCTGAACCTTGTGGGACTAAGGAATGTAACTCGTTGGAATATTTTCCATGGAAACAATGATGAAGTCGTGATAGACTTGCGATTTTTCGTCTGTGGGGGTGGGAGATGTTGTAGGGTAGAAAATAATCACCTACAAGGAAACGTAAAAGCTTTTGAACTCTGTCGAGGCTGCATATAGAGGATTAGCAGCTCCAGCCCGGATATGGCAGCAATATTTCATTTTGGATTTGATTTGACTCTTGTAAAGGTTAGTGCATGCCAGGAGGAGTCAGGTACTTTCTGGAGTGGTAGAAGAAGAGGATCGTTTTATCCAATGTCTTTAACTGTCGATCTTGAGGTCTGGGGTGAATTTATGTCAAAACAAGGAGAACTTGAGGGTGCAATCATTTATTGTGACTGGTGAAAATTTAAGGTCTCCTCGGTGATGATGTAAACTTCCTAGTTTAGTTTTGGCGATATTGAAAGTTACGAGCTGTTTAATCAATTTTTTATCTTTACTTTTGGAATTGTTCTTATCAGAAAATCTTGCTAATTTATTTTTTACCTATGTTTCTCCCACATCCTTAATTTTATGAAAGCATCAGAAATTCATCGAGATAATTTTTAGTGACTCTATTAGTTTTTAAAAGCAGAATTTTTTGTACAACTTAAATCACCGATTTTATTTTTCAAAATCCGACCTGGTCTTACAGAAAATCTGTTCTGAATTGAAATATAAAAAACGCAATAAAACTAAGTCATTATTTAATTAGAGAAGCTTTTAGTTGCTTTTATGAATAATATATATTAAAGACAATATTGTCTGAAGAAAAAAATTGGATGTAAAATGAAATTTTACAAGAATTGTTTTCATCTTTTACAATTTAAAATTGAATAATTTATAAAGTTTTTGAATTTTTTAAAGTTTAACTTCGATGAGATATTTTTTAGGGAATATTGTTATTAGTGGAGGTTGTGTTAATGGATTAAATTATATTGATCCAAAATTGTTGAGTAAATTAGGCTGCGTGATGAAATTAACAATTTCCTCTCACATTAAATTTCAGTATTCAGGAAAACATAGAATAAGGACAACATGAGAAACAACAGTTTTTACACAACAATGAATAAAATATCTATAAAACAAAGAGGTACAAACAACTGGAGCAAAAAGGTAGTTTTAAAAAGTTCAAACGTCCTTTTATGTTTAGATGAAAAATTATCAAAGTTCTGGTTTGATAGATTATAATTTGTTGAATGGTCTGTACAATAATGAGAAAGTGTGGTTTGGTATTATAGTAATTTAAGAAAAAATAAACAGTTCAAGTTTGTATTTGAAGTAGAGAAATATTGTTTACGACTTACTTTAAGGTTTACGGAATTGTTGCTCTTTGATTTGCTTTCACTGGTTTGAAGAAAATATTCTGTAATTGAAATAAGCGGTTCTTAACAAGATGTGTTTATGTTAATTGCAATAATTAACGTTGAGCTTGAAAGCGTATGAAAAAGATTCGGGTACTAACCTGAATGTGGAAAACTTGAGTTGATTGTTCGTCATAAAATATTGCTGTGTGAATGAGTGTTCTCTCAGGATGTAATCATGTTAAGGAACTTTAACGTAAAGCCTGGAACTGTGTGACGAGTTCAAAGGATTCCGATCGGCGCATTGTCGAAGATGAAAGACGTTTCATATTTTATTGCTAACTTTGATCACGTGATAGGCTCACAGAAGCTTGATAGATTTTGGAATTATCTTTTTGGTCAGAAATTAGGTAGATGTTATTAAATATTAAGTGACCAATTAGAAGTTGAGGTTTTCTGAAAATATTTATTAAGCTGAATAATCTCAGTGATCCACTTTTTGTACGAAAATTGATATTGATAAAAAAGGTGGTAGCGGGATTCTAAATATTAAGTAAAATTATATTTACTAATCATATATTTTAAAGCTTATTACAATCTGAATACCACGACTATTTTAAAAATAATTTTGATTTGTTTTTGTATGTGTGATATGTGTGCATAATTTCAAACTATGGATGTCCAAACCTGTAACGTTATCATTAAAAGGTCATCTGTTTTAAATGTTGTCGCCCTTTAAGGAAAAAAAATAAAATAAAATAAAAAAAATTGTCGTCTGCTATTCCTTAGATAATTATGATCACTTTCAGCAGTCAATTTGCCGTCAATAAATCGATTAACAAGACGTCAGAAAAACAAGACCACGTGGTTAGGAAATGATTTTATACAACATTTTATGCTTTAAGTAAGTAATATTTGTTTCAACACAGATTAACTTGACTTTAAATTTGCTAATTTTTCTCAAATAAGGTTCCATAACTATATATTTTATTTTTGCAAGATTTTTAAAACGGAAAAATAAGTTTTGTTTACAAATGTCTAAAAAATGGCTGCCGTGACCATTTATTAAAATCCCACAGTTTTTGTTTTTTTACAAGATTGTAAAAATAAACGTCTGTTACTGCAAAAAAAAAAAAAATAAAATAAAATAAAAATGAGGCTAAAATTTACAAAGAGAAACATAATTTTTAATCAAAAGTTAGAATGTTCTAAAAAGGATGCAAAATTTTTTAAAATAATCAAAAAATACTTAGATCTTTCCTCTTAATAATAAACATTTAGACGATAAAATTATTATCATAGCTTATTTTAAATTTGAACTATGAAGCTGCGTTTAATTTAGCGTTCCTCCCATTAGACCCAGTATATATATTTTTAAATCAAAAGTAATAATTCGTGCCTGATGAGTTGGTAGAACAACGAAACTTTAAGTTGCACTTCGAACGTAGGTATATGTATATTTAATAATATATACTTCTTAACTCTGTCTAATCACATTGAGCACTGTTTTGTTTACACCTTAAATATTTATTTTCTTATCTGTGTATATATGCTAACGCACGTATATACTAATACAGGGTGTCCGTAAAAAAATTATAACTTTATTTGTATTTGCGATAGAAATAATTTGTAAAAAGGATTAGAAAGAAGTAAATCTATATTTTTTAAGGTTTTATTGGAATTTTATTTAAATTTCCACATGTCCTCAATCATTAACAATACAAAGGGTAATACGATTTTGCAGTTCACGGAAAACATTTGCAAACTGAGTTACAATAATGCCTGAAATCACATTAGTTATTTTAGCTATACTTAAAACTAGGTACATTAAACTTCATAACATTTTTTACAGATTATTTCTATCACAACTACAAAGTTGTTTTTGTAGATATAATCATTTGTATCTCAATTTTGATATCACGCACGCACATATATATATATATATATATATATATATATATATATATATATATATATATATATATATATATATATGTGTGTGTGTGTGTGTGTGCGCGTGTATGCGTGCGCGTGTGTGTTTGTGAGCGCGTGTGTATGTGCACGTATGTGTATGTGCGCGTGTGTGTATGCTTCGGAGAAAGTAGCTGTAAAATTCTGACGCTAGAAAGTTTTAAAAATCTTCGTGGAAAATAGAAGATGTTTTGAGAAACTGAGCAATATTTCAAAATGATGTCAATTCTTTTTTCAACAGAAGGTATTCATTTCACTTTGGGATCGACAACGAATTGATTCGCCATCTGCTGAAGAAATCGAACGTGATAAAACAACCGGTCGCCATACTTATTTTGTAGCTAACCAGATGGTTCTTTTATCACATCCACTAGCGTATATCTAACCGCACCCATAATCTAAAACTTTCAGTAACCAATCGTTTTCATTTTTTTCATTTTTTTTAGTTCTTTTTCTGGAACCAATCAGTTATTGATCTTTCAACTCGTAAAAAAGAAAAGGAATATTTTTGTAAAAAGTGCGTTTTACTAATGGATTAAAAATAAGAAATTTGGGAAAATGATTTAAAAGAAAATCAAAGAAAATGGAAAATAAATAAATGATTCAATAATGAACCTTGAGAAATCGTTGGATGAATGGAGGGAAGGAAAAGGAAGCAGAAAAAAAGGTGAATAAAAAAGACGTTAAGATTCAATGGCAAGATAATGAGGAGGAGGAGGAGGAGGAGGAGGAGGAAAGAGATAGATAGATAGATAGATAGATAGATAGATAGATAGATAGATAGAGAGATAGATAGATAGATAGATAGGGAGAGGAGAGAGAGGAGAGAGAGAGAAAGAAGGAGGTCCAAGTTGAATGAGGAGGTGGAAAGAGATAGAAAGAGAAAGGGGATAGAGAGACAGAGAGAAGGAAGTTCAAATTGTATGAGGAGGAGGAAAGAACTAGTAAGATAGATAGAGAGAGAGAGGGAGAGAGAGAGAAGGAAGTCAAAGTTGAATGAGGAAGAGGAAAGAAATAGAAAGAGAGAGAGGATAGAGAGACAGAGAGAAGGAAGTCCAAGTTGAATGAGGAGAAGGAAAAAGACAGAGAGTGAGGGAGGATAGGAAGAGAGAGAGAGAGAGAGAGAGAGAGAGAGAGGAAGTCTAAGTTGAATGAGGAGGAGGAAAGAGAAATACTGTGGAGAGAGAGAAGTTTTTGATTGAGGAGGAGAAAAGAAGGAGAAAGAGAGAGAGAGAGAGAAAGAGAAAGGAAGGAAGGAAGTCAAATGAGGATGAGGAAAGTGATAGATTGATAGATAGATAGAGAGAGAGAGAGAGAGAGAGGACAGACACGGCGAAAGAGAGAGAAGGAAGTTCAAGTTGGATGAGGAGGGGGAGAAAAGCGATAGATAGAGCGAGAGAGTGTGGAGAATGAGAAGGAAGATCTTGAATAACTTTAATAAAGGAGGTGAAGAAAAGAAAATTTACTTGAGAGGGAGAAAAACGTCGAAAAAACGCAAAAAAAAACAAAAAAAAACAACAAAAAACAATTTCATTCATTTGATGTGTTTCGTAATAATTACTAAGAAACGTAAACCATGAAATAATTTTTCTGAGAACACGTTTCCGAATCCTGAACTTGTGGCAAAGACATGTCCAAGCGATCAAATTTTGATTGGCAATGTCAGGGTATGGGTCGGGTAGGAACGGACAAAAACTTGGGGAATGGAAATACAGGGTACGGTGGCAATTAGTTAGAGAGGTAGAAAAAAGTAATCAGTGGGGGATCAGAGTTAGGACGAGGGAGGGGGTGAAGGCTTATGTGACCAATGCTGATTGCAAAAAAAAAAAAAAAAAAAAAAAAAAAAAAAAACAGAATGACGTAAAAGGAACGAAAATCTATAAGAACGGGAAGAGAGGCAGAATATACAGGGAGAAAGATAAGATAAAGAAAGAAAAAATAAAGGCCAACAGAAATGTAGACCCCCCCCCCTCCACCGCACGTTTAAAAATATCAACAAGAGAAGAATAAAAAAAAATTATTGAAAGAGTTGACGGTTTAGAATATTTTTTATAAACCATTTCCTAATTCTATCTATCTATCTATCTATCTATCTATCTATCTATCTATCTATCTATCTATCTATCTATCTCTCTCTCTCTCTCTCTCTCTCTCTCTATATATATATATATATATATATATATATATATAGTCTGTTCCTTCCTTCCTTCCTTCCTTCCTTCCTTCCTTCTTCCTATCTATCTATCTATCTATCTATCTATCTATCTATCTATCTATCTATCTATCTATCTATCGTTATTTCTCTCTCTCTCTCTCTCTCTATGTATATATATATATATATATGCCAGTCTGTTCCTTCCTTCCTTCCTTCCTTCCTTCTATCCTTCCTATCTATCTATCTATCTATCTATCTATCTATCTATCTATCTATCTATCCTTATTTCTCTCTCTCTCTATCTCTCTCTCAAAACGTATTGTATTGATTATGCAAACATATTAAGAACAAAATTTTAAACCAATCAAGCCCTCAAATGTTCAACCTGTTTGCCCCCCCATCATTCACACACTCTCCTTTATCTGCAAAACTTATTATTTATTAAAAATTATGAAAATAAATAGATTAAAAATGATTTTAATGAATTAAATGAATTCTAGCATTAAATAAGTCCTCTAACCACTACTTTTTCACCTTCTCGTATATATATATATATATATATATATATATATAGCACGAAATCACAAGTCATCGTGACCAAGGGTTTGAGTGTGCTGGTCTTGTTCAGATTGTTGATCACGCTAGATAACACGCTCCCTCCCAGAAAATGTAATTAAGGTCTGCTCAGCATAGTATAAACCACAGGTGGGCTGTGTGGGTGTTGGATAAATACAAATGTGCCTGTGTAAGTATCTGCAGTAGGGATTGGCTAGCTGCCCTAGTAGACGGGTATCCTCGAATACGAGTGGCCAGCTTATATATATATATATATATATATATATATATATATATATTGTTATGGGAACTTACCCATAATAAAAATGGACTATTCCTGACATTATAAATACTGCGCATCTCAAGAGGTATGAGGAGATTGTAAGACGAGGAGAGATAATTGAGAGCATATTGTAAGGACATTGGAATAGTGATACTTGTCGAGACAACATAGTTCACTCTAACCAAATCTGATAGTCATTACTAATACTTCTACTTCTTTTGTATTATATTTCTGTTGTAATATATCTTTGTATTCCATACCTGTGTTCGTGTTATTCTTTCATTGGTTCTAACCTTGGACCATCACCGTGGTACAAGGAACTTGGAGCATAGCAAGTGGCGACGAGGAAACCCTAAAAAAACAAAACAAAAAAAAAAACGAACTCTCTACGCGGAGGACATACATTTTTTGTCTATCCGTCGCACATAACAAGTGTTGACGAGAAAACTGAAGAAACAAGAGATTCTAAAAAACAAGTTCTACGCGAACATATAAAATAGAAGGAATTTTTTTTTTGGACATCAACTTTACTGTGGTAACAAAGACACAAGTTCTACACAGGGAATTTTTTTTGGTGTACACAGGTTCCAGAATATCAGGCTACACTAAAGGAAAATACTTACACAAAATTACGTTAACATGGAAGATTTTAAGTCAACCATTGTGGAACTTATGAAAATCCAATTTGAACAGCAACAGAAAAACGAACAGCGACATCTTGAATTACAAGAATTATTGCTACGTGTAATGTCAAATAAAGGGCAAAATTCCGAATATGAAACAGTTCTCCCACAAGACGCTATTTGGAGCACTATCGAAGATTTCACGTATGCACCCGACGAAGACAAAACCTTTGCAACTTACTTCCGAAGGTACGAAGATCTATATGAATTTGACTGCAAAAATTGGTCAGACGCAAGAAAAGTACGACTACTACTAAAAAAATTAGGCACGTGCGAATATACCAAATTCGTAGATTATATCCTACAGAGGAAAACAAATGAGTTAACTTTCAAAGAAGCCATAAAACTGTTAACAGAACTTTTCAGCCCTAATACCTCACTGTTCCACAAAAGATGGAAATGTCTGAATCTAACAAAAAAGGAGAGCGAAGATTACATAACTTTCACTTTATATATATATATATATATATATATATATATATATATATATATATATATATATACTAGCAGCATGGCCTGGCGTTGCCCGTGCTTGATTCAAAAATCGCTTGCCTTAAAATATTTTTGGGTTTCTGGTTAGGACCCGGTAGGAAGTATACAAAGAAATGAAAGGAAATAATAATAATAATAATAATAATAATAATGAAGAAAGCTTGCTAACAAAGAATAAAAAAAGTAAGAATGTAATTCAATTTTCTAAAGTAGAGGAAGTTTTTTGAATGAAATCCTTTCGAATCTCTTTGGCTCGGAATGAAAAAGAAGACGCCTAACCTACCACAAACAGCGGGAAGGATAAAATGAATAAAAAAGCAAATACTACGTGAGAAATGTCGGAAATGTTCGAATCAGATCATGTAAAGAAGAATGAATGTTTTGGCGGGAAGACATGTTCGGTGTGTTAATGGTGGGCGTTCTAATGTATGATAAAGTCGTATGAAAGGGCGAAACCGCGGCTTTAATGGTTGAAAAATATGAAGCTTTTTATATTGTCGTACTCTTTACTTTTGTGTGTTTCTTTAAAATACTGCAGAGTGTAGTCCTCAGCATCGTCCTCCTCTTTTTGCAGCTGCTCCACTCTCTTGCACAGTGCTAGAGCATTTCACTTCTATGTCGTCAACTGCAATGTGATCGAAACACCGAATATGAAAAGCAGTAAAAAAAGGGATTTCTTTCTGCAGTTGTAGGAAGATTCAAGGACATTCTTTCAATTTTCTCTTTATATGTATTCAGAAAACACACACACACACACACGCAGACACACACACACACACTCACTCACTCTCTCACACACACACACACACACACACACACACACACACACACACACACACACACACACACACACATATATATATATATATATACACCTTTGAAAAATGTTCTATATATTTCTGTAGGTGTTATAAATATATTACAATCCACACAATTCGACTCCCAACAGGAATCGAGCATTTATATATATATATATATATATATATATATATATATATATATATATATATATATTCATGAATTATTCATACAAAAACAAATACAAAGGTTAATGATTTAATTGGCGAGAAATCAATCGTCGCAAACAATTCAAATAATATACAAAAACCCCGAACCTGTTATGAATGAAAAGATCCTTGTTTTTATAAATTTCTGTTGCATTAGTTCTTATTTTTACTACAAGCTTTCGTTTGTTCCTACAGAGATCTTCAGGTATGGAATAGATATATATATATATATGTAGGCATATAAATAGGAAAAGAAAAACTATATGGTTCACCCTCTACTCTTCTGTAAATTATCCAATACCAATATCGGACAGCCTATTCTGAAATTAGTAAACAAGCATTTTCACAAAAACCACCCTCTAAATAAGATTTTCAATAGAAAAACTATCAAAATAAGCTATTCCTGCACTAATAACATATACGAAGTCATAAACTCGCATAATAAGTACATTTTAAGTAAATTCCATCGGACTAACAATAAACCTGATAAAGGACCCTCTGTAATTGTAGAAATAGTGAAAACTGTCCAGTTGAAGGAAAATGCAGGGCTACAAAGGTGATTTATCAAGCAACAATTTACCCCAAAGAAAATAAGTTAAGTCACAAATTTGGGAATTGAAGGAGAAAGGTCTGAACCCTCAGATTGACTGAAAAATTATAGGTTTTGCTTATACTCCTAATAATCTTAGGAATCAGTTTGACCGATGTTGAGAAGAGAAAATTAGAATAAATTCAATAATCAATGCAAACTATTAAATCAAAGGAATGAATTATTTTAAAAATGGCGTGACAGGAGTAGATTTAAATTCATATAATATCTGGGATCTTTATTTCTTAATTACCTTTCTAATATTATACATATTAATTTAGTTATTTCTATATTTTGCCTACTCCATATCAATCCTATCCTATAACCTTCCAGTACTTTTTGAACTCCGTTTACTTTTTTTTTTATCCTTCTAAATTTTTAAAATAGGTTTATATATATATATATATATATATATATATATATATATATTATATATAATTATTCACACAAAACTAATGCAAAAGTTAATGATTTAAATGGAGAGACATCCATCATCGCAAACAATTCAAATAATATACAAAACCTCCGTATCCGTTATGAATGAAATGATCCTTGTTTATATAAATTTCTGCCGTATTAGTTCTTATTTTACTACAAGCTTTCGTCTATATAAACAAGGATCATTTCATTCATAACGGATACGGAGGTTTTTGTATATTATTTGAATTGTTTGCGATGATGGATGTCTCGCCATTTAAATCATTAACCTTTGCATTCGTTTTTGTGTGAATAATTCATGTATTTGTAAATTGATTGCACGTTTATCGTAATATATATATATATATATATATATATATATATATATATATATATATATTCTGTGTATTGTTTTTATTCTTAATATTTTAACTTATTTTTAAATTTTAAATCGTTGATATCATTTTTTTAATTATTTTTTTCTTAATATTTTTTCTTAATATAAGCTATCTACACTATTTACATTATTTGGACTATTGTCCTCATCTTTGTCGCCATATTTATTACAACGTTTCGGCCCTTCAGTATCTGTCTATATTTCTGAGATGAGGTATTATGTACACTATTTACATTATTCGGACTATTGTCCTCATCTTTGTCGCCATATTTATTACAACGTTTCGGCCGTTGTACGCTTCGGCCTTCTTCAGGTAGTTGGAATGTCGAACTGATACCTTTATTTCGCTCACTGGGGTAGACTGTTCTAGTTCCACGTGCCATGTTTAATGGATGTCAGTTATCAGTTATCTCCTGTTAATTTCCCTCTGAAAGTTCTCTACTGACTTAACCGGGTATTGACAGATATTAAACTATCTAAGAACGATTTCTTGTTAATCTTATTATTATTATTTGTAGCATATTTTGGCAACTTAGAGTGTTAATTTTTTTTGTTATTATATAATTAATAATTACTATTTTTAATATTTCAAAACCTCTTTTATTTCAGCTTCCCTTAGTTTAACTTCATCTTTCTTATAACCACACCTTAGGGTTTTAAAGTTTATATTTAAGTTGAATTGTTTAGCGAATTTTTCATTTAAGTCAGACAATATCCGCCCACAATATGGGCAGTTATTTTTGTGTTGTCTGCTATGCAATATATCAATTCTTTCAATTGTTTCTTGGAAATATTAAATTTAAATTTCAAGTTCCGAGACAGTCCAACATTTGAGTCGAACAAAGCCAGCGTATTGACGTTGGTTAAAATAGTCTATACTCACGAGGTAATTT